CTCCAATGTAATGCTGAGCACTTTATACAGATTTTCTCACAGAATAGCACAAAACCTTTAGATACTATCTCTTACACTTCAGACACGCAATCAGTTAAATAATGGACTAAAATTTTGCAAAGGTGGAGGAAATAGTCATGAGATTAAGGGACATTTGGTGAAGAGCTACTTATAGAAATACAAGATGCTTCAGGGACTCAAGCAAAGATTGGACAGTTCTAGCAGGTGATGTCACAGAGACTTCACTGAAGAGGACGGGGAGATGCTGAGCTTGAAATATAGTGTACAGGTGTTGAAATAGAGTTGGAACACAGTTACCAGAGAGCTGGAATAGAGCACGGAGATTAAAAGAGTTTCCAACAGTGTTCAGGTTATGGTGTGAAGAGCAGCCTGCCAGGGAGCTGGGTATTCCTCATATTTCTGTGCTCCAAAAGTTGTACAGCACTGACTTAGGAAGATACGCCAGGCAATGCGATAGTGATAAACTAAAGATGTTCATAACACAGTAATGGTATATATGGAAAACTCACAGCAAGCATGATATTTAATGATCAATATTTGAAAGCTTTTTTCTAAAATGAGAAACAATGCAAGGGTGTTCAGTCTGAATATTTCTGTCCAGCATAGCCATGAAAGTTCTAGCAAGAGTAATTAAGTAAAGGGAAAAAAAGACATCCAAATTGGAAAGAAGTGAATAGGGCCTGTTTGCAAAAAACTGATTTTTTATGTCTAAAATCCTAAAACTCCTGACAACATTCTATTTGAGTTGATAAATGAATTCGGTAATATTGTAGTATGCTAAGTTGACACACAAAATCTGTAATTTCCTATTGCCTAACAATACTCTATGAAAAAATCAAGAAAGAAATCCCACTGAAGATAGCTACAAAAAATATGAAAATTTAACCATTGATGCAAAAATTAACACACACACACACACACACACACACACACACACAAAATGAAAGCTACAAGATATTGCTGAAATAAATGCAATATGTGTGCATAGTTACTTTGAGTTTATAGATTAGTGGAATTAAGACTCTTAATACATCAATTATATGTAAAAGAAATCTATAAATTCAGTGTAATTTCTTTTCTTTTTTTTTTTTTTTTGTTTTTTGTACTGCGGATCAAATTTAGTATTTTGTATTTGCCAGACAGGTGCTTATGCCGCTGAACAATCTCCCTGGTACTAGGGAAATTTCTATCAAATTTCCAGTTTAGTTTTTTACAGAAACAAAAAAAAAAAAATTAAATTCACATAAAATCACCAAAGTAAAGAGAATAAAGCTTCAGAGATTACACCATGTGACTTTAAAATATTCTACCAAGCTAAATAATAAAACAGCAAGATACTGGCCTAAAAGCATGCATGCAAATCCTTTCCTAATTTCATTTTTTAAACTTTGATGGAAACCAATCAACTATAAATTTTGGTTTTATTCTTTTTCTCTTTTTTTTCAATCCCCGGTTCTGCCAAAAAAAAAAGATAAAGAAAGAGAAAAAGAATAAAACAAAGAATTTATAATTGATTGATTTCCATCAAAGTTCAAAAAACATGATATTAGGAAAGGACAATTAAATGGCTCTAGTCAAACTAGTGTTGCTATCCAGGAGCGTCTAGTAAGGACATTATTTACATCATACAAATAGTTAGCTAAAAGAGGGTTAAAGAATTTAATATATGATTAGACACTTTGAAACTAGCAAAAGAAGACATAACAGGAAAATACCCTTACATTGGTCTGGTCAGACATTTCTGGAGAAATGATCTCCAGATCACAAGCTCAAAATTGAGCATAAAGAAGTGAGATTAGGGTCAGGGAGATAGCTTGGTTGTCTAAGCACCTGCCTGGCAGGAACAAGGACCCAGGTTTTATACCTGGTACTGCCTGCCTTGCTGGCCCCACCTCAAGCCCAGTACTGAGACCAGGTAGGATGGTGCATGCCTGTAATCCCAGCACTGGAGAGGCTGAGATAGGAGGACCACTGTGAGACTGAGCTGCATAGGGAGACCCAACACCAAATAATAAATAAGTGAAAGATTTTAAACAAAATTTTTTTAAAATGAAATGAGATTATACTCAACAGCTTTTGCACGGCAAGCAATGAACAGAGTGAAGATAAAATGTACACAATGGGAAAGAAGTTTCTTAATTATAGAACACATGAGGCATTAATATAAAGATAAATAAGACACTCAGACTAACAGCAAGAAAACAAGGAAACTGTTTTTCGAATGGAAAAAACACTTGAATGGACAGGTTTTAAAGAAGACATACATTGACCAGACACACGAAAACTATTTAACATATCCAGTAATCAAGGACATGCAAATTAAAACCACAATGAAACAGTAGCCCACATCTGTCAGAAGGTCTATTATCAAAGAGACAGAGGGTAAATGTGGAGAGATGTGGAGTAAAAGAAATCCATGCACATTCTTGGTGAAAACCTAAATTGGCACAGGCACTCTGCAAAATCATATGGAAGTTCCTTTAAAATACTAAGACCCTCCCATGCCTACTGCTGGGCGTATATCCAAAGACGTGGAAATGGAGCTGCAAGATGTTGAAATGGTAGTGGCTTCTGAGTGCTCCTGACAGCATTATTCACAGCAGTAAAGGTGTGGAACCAGCAGAAGCATCTGTGTTCACATTAATGAGCAAAGACAGTAGTGTACTGTTCAGTTATTCAAAAAAATAATTTCTGTAATTACTAAAAAACACACACACAAAATGGAGGACATTTGGTTAATCAATAATGAACCAGATCAGGCTCTGAAATTCATGCACCACATGATACTCCTTACTCGTGGAATCTTTAAAAGTGTTGTTTAGAGATATACATACAATGGTGCTTACCAGGTTTTAGTGGTGGAGTGAGTTAAGTTTGGGAGGGATTCGTCAAAGGAAGTAAATTTTTAGTAATGCAGGAGAAATAAATTCAAGAGACCTACTGGAAAACATGCTGACTGTAAACAATGATACATTTTATTGTTGAAAATTACTCAAAGACAAATTTTAAGCATTCCCACTTAAAAGGGAAGCATAGGAGATATTTCATAGGTTCACTACCTCTGTTTAGTTCCATAAATCTAACTATTTTACGTATTAAATACATATAATATTTACCAAATAAAGTGAAATACATAAGTTATAACTGAAGAAAAGTAAAGTGCTTTGCCTTGAGATCCTCGTCTCCTAAACTGTACATTTTCATTGCATCAACTACAGTATTTATTATTATTATTATTAATTTTGTGTGCAGGGTCACACTACGCCCCTCAGACTCATAATGATCCTCTTGTTTTCAGCATCTCTAGTGCAGGGCTTACAGGCATGCGCCACAATGCCCAGATTCCATCGCCCTCTCAGCATGCCCAGGGGCAGGGCCGGCTCGGCACGCGATGCCAGGAATTGAATCCTGGCCCCTGCACTTGCCTAAGCAAGCACTTTGTCCTCCAACTACAATATTTAAATAATGAATGACTTACAAATTCATATATTCAGCTTAGATGTGGATAGCAATCCTGAGAAATGCATGTAATTACCAATGAGATATTTCACAAAAATTTAGAATTAGCTTTAAGAGTTTAACTAATCATTTTAATTCCTCTCCTCCATTTTTAATAGCAAACTGTATGCATTCTCCTATATAAAAATCAGTAAAACTTCATGACTTTACACCTCTTTTTCCTTATTGATATTTTATTTTCAGTCTCAAGTCATGTCATTTTTATTTCAATTACTGAATGTTTTCAGAACCTTACCAGATACCTTGATCATTTCCAACTGCTCACTTCTCCTGTTCAGTATAGGTTTTTTCTTTTTGTTTGTTTGTTTTGGCGGAACTGGGGATTGAACTCAGGCCCTTGCACTTGCCAGGGAAGCGCTTATAGCACTGAGCCATCTCTCTGGCCCTCCTGTTCAGTATAACATCCTCCTTTCTTAATTACTCCACGACCCTTCTAAGTCTGCGTGGATTCTAGCATGTACTCTTCACAATGGAGCAGAGAGTTTTCCAACTTCAAGCTTTGATAGTAAGACACCTCACATTAATCTAATCTAAGCATTCTCATTCAGCCTTACCTTCAGAAAGTAAATCCATCTTTTGCATTTAGAGTTTAAATATGTTGCCTTCTTTTGATTTCTCATAAACACCTACTTAGAGACCTCTGCATCTCTAATTCCCAAGCCTGTCATTCCTCGCTCGCTTCCCATTGCTCTCTGTTGATCTGTCAGATCTCACGGAACAGTGATGCCCAAACGACTCTCTAATCCCATTATTAGGTATTACACCTTGCGAATGCAAGAGCCATGAGGTAGGTCTACATTACTTCTGACATTCAGGGGATGTTCAATAATTCTCTGCTGTATCACTGATCAAATGGAATAGGAATAAATGAATAGAGTTGAGGCATGACCTATCTTTTATAATGTGACTTAGGTAAGTTTGGCATATTTAATATTTCCAAGATTTTGTGGATAAGAAAGTCGGTCTGAGAGTAGTAAACAGGATACATCAGATGGTTAAGTCCAGCCAAAGGAAGTGAGAACACTAGGGGGAAGGGGAGAGAGAGAGAGAGAGACAGAGAGAGAGAGAGAGAGACAGAGAGAGAGAGAGAGAGAGAGAGACAGAGAGACAGAGAGACAGAGAGACAGAAAGAGACAGAGACACAGAGAGAAAGACACAAAGAGACTCTGATAGCAATCAGAGAAATATTGTATAGAATTATTAATTAGGGGCTACAGAGACAGGAGCTACATGGGAGCTACATTAAACAGACCAATAATATAATTCAGCATAATGGGTAAGAAAAGGCCATTAACTCCAATCTCTCTGATCTGTTTCTTATGTTATGAATGACAAATTTAGAATCCAGAGGACATAGAGAAGACTTCAGGGTGGACTTAGCAACTGCTAGAATATTGCCACGTGCAGGATTTCCCCTGAAACCACCATCCCCTTTTATTACCAGGCTGTAGAAAAGACTACTGTCTGGCTTTAAGCCCTTTATAGATTCTCTAATACCACAGCCTGGGGCTCCAAATACACACAGTAACCAAGAGAAATATCAGCTTGTGCACACCTCCCTTGCTGCCCTCTGCTTATTTCTGCCTATCAGAGATGAGTGAATAAAGTTCTTTTCAGGGTGCGAGCCCAACTCACCAGCCATGGTAACCCCCTGACTCTCCTTGCTGTGCTGAGTGGTCGAGAGTCTCAGAATAGAAAATGAAACTTGCTGGTCATTTCCTAAGTACAGGGGGCGGGGACAATTAAGCCCAGGTTGTGAAACTGCTGCTAAGAACTTGTATTTTCTTGCTGGGAAATTCCCTAAAACTGTAACATGGGAATCTTGGTGGTGAGCTCTGGTTTCTTCCTTGGGGAAGGAAAATGTAACCATGGGAAATGATAAACCATAGTCCTACAGGCTGACTCCTCTGACTAATGAGTTCCTCCGGTTCTTTTCTCAGTGTATGGCTCTCAGAACTCCTCCCATCCTTCCTTGTTTTTTATTCTCTAGTGCTTCTCCCTTTACTCATTAACAATACAAATATGAGTCTGTTTATCTATTGCCCAGTGAAATTTAACCCAGTATCTTCTGTCCTCTGTTTCAATAGTGTTGTTGAAGACTGGGCATGGTGGCTGTTCCTGTAATTCCAGCGCTTGCAAGACTGAAAGCAGGAGGATCACTAGGAGTCTGATCTGTGTACTGAGACCTGTGGACCTTGTACTAAAAATAATTGTGTTGTTGCCATCCCTCTTCTTGTCTCCTCGTCATCTTAATGTTTCGTGGCAGATAGTTCTAGGGAAGTCATCTGCTTAACTCTCCCCAAACATGATTGTCTTTAGTTGCCTGAGACGCAAGGTTTACTTTTCCTGAGGGCAGAGGTTCTGCCTTCGGTATTTACCTTTTGATATTGCAGAGAATTCTTCATAGAACCAGTTTTACACTACAGCAGAAAAAAGGATCATATGAAACTGATCTGTCCAGAACAGCTAGTCAGAGCGAGCAAAACCATGTTGAACTGTGACATGTTTAACTCTGAAGGTTTTGTTCAAAAGGTCAGAAGTACATTTTGACTTTAAAATACTTCAAGACTAGCAAGGATCACTCTTCCAAGTGAAACTATAGGTCTTTCAGCTAAGTTGATGACCAGCCACAATTTTCTTTTCTGTTTTTCATGTAAGAACACCATACTCTAGTATTTATTTGTAGCGTTATGTGTGTCTCTCTTTTCTGGGGAAGTTTGTCGACTACTCTATCTTCTCGGTAAGACTGCAAACCCCTGGGAGCCTAGTGTTGAATCAAAGGTCACTTTGCTTCTCTCAAACATCTTAACAGACCTCAGAAATGCGTAGGCTGCATGCATAGCTTTGTCAACAGTGAGCTCTGGGTTCCAGGCTAAGTCATATCACACACGGCTTTTGCTTCAACGCTGATGTCTTTTCTGCACCCCTCAACTCAGGCAGCTTCTGTGAATGTACCTGCTTTACATCTGCATTTCTAAAGCAGAAATGACATTTTGAAATTCCATAAACAGTGACATTACAAGTTACAGTCCTATTGGAGTCAGGAGACTGCAAAGGTATTATTTCTCTGAGTTAAGTCCCCTTGTGTCCCCAAGTGTAGGAAAAACCAACCAAATAAGCAACAAAAATAAACCCAGGACAAACTTTGATTGTATTTCAGATTTAATAGATTTTCCAAAGAAATGACTTTTCCAAGAGACATGATTCTACACATTCATACAGAAAACAGAACTCCTGGCTTCCTACTGAAAATGAAACAACACAAATATAAGGAAGAGTTCTGCTCAAAGATATATAAGAGGTAAGGTCTCTTTACCAATGCGACAAACATATAAAAAGGAATAATCCATGCTGGGTTTAAATGCTTCCCTACTGTGGCTACCTAAATTGGGCTTCTGAAATCTACTGACTACGTTTTGATATATGATGCTTGCCACTAAGGAATACCCATCCACTCGTGCAGAATTTTAAAATCAATGTGCTCTGAACTAAATAGAAAAAGAGATCATGCTCAGTATCCTCCCTTCGCTTTGCCAGGTCATGATGGGGTCCTAGGACTCTCACTTCAGTTCCTTCTTCCCCTCGCTGAGCACAGCCAAGTCTGCACACAGATACTGATGCAACTTAAGTATTTTTAATGTCCTGGGAAGAGATAGAAGTGTTTGGTCAAAGTCACTCTCTCGGTAGTGGGCATCTGTGCCACAGGTTGTGGTATTTCAAATGAAAATTGAACCTGAAAGAGAAAAAAGATTTGTTGACATTTTTGTCTAAGTGGAGAATTTTAGTTTTATGTGGAAAGAAAGGACACTAAATGTAGTAAAACTGAGTGAAGCAAACAGACAGTATTCACATCTCTCCAAACCACAGCGCACAGCATATCTGAGCATAGAATGACCTCACAGAGTTCAACTTCTATAGATGGATCTCTAGGCTCTACTGGACATGGGCAAATTAGAGTCTGCTCATTTCTCTGCTCATGGCAGAGCAAGAGTTAAAGTAAGTGAATATTTTGTGGTTGTGGATTGTAACTCATTCGAGCTCATATCCATGTCTGCTCACTCCTGAAAACCCCTCAAAGTTCCTTTGGACAGAATGGCATTATTGGCAGATAAACATGGCCAGAACTTCCCTCTAAGATTCAACAGGAAAATAGCCCAAAGTTGAACAAGTAGAGAAGAAGAAATATCAAAACCTCACCTTTCGGAAAATTTCCTGCAGGTCACAGCACCAGGCATATTCTTTCATAATTTCAATCAGTTTTATAATAAAAAGAGAGCCCCTTTCAGGATGTCGCCAAGAAATGTTATCTGTAAATGAAGCACATTCCACGTCTATGGCCAGTATTTGCTGGGACATGGACGTTGCTCCAGTAGTTCCACTTCTGCTTGTTATGGAGAGCCTCCTGCTCTCTGTATGCTGCCTGCCATTTTTCAATGAATATGTTCTGAGTGAGTCAGTATATTCTAGGGAAACCTAAGACAGTGTGGCATACGGTGCAGGCGTCACAGTCTTACTTCAAGGTGATGGAAATAATATAGAGTGAAATGTGTAGAATGACATGGGGAGGGTTAGTTGGATCACTCCTCTCAAGTTTGCTACTTAATGTGTTTTTTAAAAACTGCAGTCTGACCATAAAAGGTGGAGTTAATTATTGCTGTGGCAAAGAGATACTTGAATAGCAGGTGTGACACAACATAAGTATGTGAAACATACAGGATTACAGAACAGGAATGCAGAATAAGAAGGAAAATGAGGGCCTGGGGGATAGCTCGAGGGCCTGGGGGATGGCCAAGCAGACCAAGCACCTGCTCTGGCAAGCGCAGGCACCAGGGTTCAATCCCTGCTCCCGCATGCTGAGCCGGCCTCCCCCTGGGGCATGCTGAGCCAGTGACCCAGTCCAGGCGGGGCAGAGCACATCTGCGATCCCAGCACTGGAGGGGCTGAAAACGTGAGAATGACTATGAATCTGAGCTGCATAGTGAGACCCTGTGCAAAACAGATGAAGTGGAAAAGAAATAAAAAGGATGAAAATGGGATCAACATAATGAAGTGGTTTCAGAGGAAAAGTTTAACTCTAATTGGAGAAACCAAGTGTGTAATAGATAAGAGAGACACTAAGGAGAAATAGCACAAATAGAAATAGTGCAGACGTTTAAAGATTATGCAAGGACTACAGAGAAAAATCAGTAGGAACAAATGTGTATATTCATGGACTAATCATTTAACCAAATCTTTTTACTCAACAAAAAATGGTAATAAAATACATATTAATAATTAAAATCCTATTAAAATACAGCTGCCATATTGGGCTTGTGCTAACTAAAAAAAAGAATATTGGAGGAAAGGTAGAGAAAGAAAGCTCTGCAGGCTTTCTGTGGAATTCAAGGATTTCAAGGTCAGTTTTCTTCAGGAAAACCCCATGATGTCATTGAGACTTGCCAAGGAGGCTATGAAGGTAAAGAAAACTGAGCTGGGATTTCTAAGAGTCATGTAGAGGGAGGCAAGATGCAGAGGCAATGGAGGCAGAAACCACAAGACGGACCCTGAGGAGTCAGGGAGGCGCAGACCACTATGTAGCCAGCGGTGAATGTATGGTAGGAGACCAGGGTCACATGCTTTAAAAGAACCTTGATGCCTGATGCCTGTTATTAGGGCGCTAGGTAAGCTGGAAAAGTACTCACAGTATAATTAGTTGTGATTATTGGTAAACATGTTATGTTCTACATCAGGACATGGTGAAAGTAAGGAAGAGCCAGGTTTTTTCTGTAGGCAAGCATCTCATTACAGAAGGCAACCTACAAACAGTGTGAACACAGGCCGGATGCCTTAGGGGCCAGGGTAGCTAAGAGACTGTCAGCTCCAGGAAACTGCAAAGTTCAGTAGTTGGGAGGATTCCGATGACTTCTCTTTGAACCTTAATATGTGAGGTGTCTTGCATGTTCATAAAATGCAAACTCGTTAACAGCATTCGTTAAATGGACTTTTCCTCTGTACTATGCTTATTGTTGCACTTAAATCATCTCATTTAAGACTCAGAGAAAATATATTATATTTACATAAATAATGATTAATCCAAACGAAGGGCAGCAAGGCCAAAGTACTGGACCTAGTTTATCAATATCTAAATAGAAATGTTAGGATATAGTTGCAGCACTCCTACTCCATAGCTGAGATTTAGAATCATTCAGGTGTATTTTCTTTTGTATGCTCCATAATTCACTTCAATCTAAGACCTTAGTGCACTTGGTCTGCCTTATATCCCCGATCCTCAGAAACCCACTTCTGCAAATGCATAATGTCTTGGCAACTGGACTGTAAGGGATCTCAGCATTGTGCGCATTTTCTTCGGTAAGACAACTTCCCATTTAATTCACTGCTACACATCAAAGCTCGAGGAAATTCTTCTACAGCAATGACAACATCTTGTTAATTAATATACATTGTGTCTTCATGAATAAGTGTAATTGGATGTGTTACTGCTAATAGAATCGAATTGGTCATCAAAAGTTTCATGCAAAATTAAGCCCTGGTATCCTGACTCTAACAGAACACTGGAAGTTTCTCCACCGGTAACCCTACAGATGTGTTCCAGACAGAAACCCATTACCTGGAGTTGAAGAGCAGAAAGCAATAAAATCCTTCTCTATGTGGACTTTCTTAATGCCATCATAATCCAAATCTTGTGGATCGAAGAGGATTATGTTTCCAAGGTCTTCTGATGAGTCCTTTAACCATACCTCACCTTTGTTCTCTAGAAAAAAAATATATATCGTTTCTTTAACCATCAAGTTTCAGGAGCAGTGCTAGCTCCTCTAAACATCTTCAGAAATGTGATCTAATGGTTAATGTAGCTGGGAATATATCTCAGCAGCACAGTTCCTGCCTGGCGAGCAGGAGGTCATGAGTTTGATTCCCAGTAACATCACCAACAAAAAACCCAAAAGAATGAATTATTAATAACTTAAATATATTTCATGGATGTTACATCATGCCTTGTCATTATTTTGCATATACATGTAAATTTCAAGAACCATCTTATCAACAATTCTTATTTCTCCTAACCGTCAAATGAAGGAGAACATCAAAAATTTAAGACTAAAAATGGTATTTCCTAAGTTAAAAGTAAAACTAGTATTTTCTTACCAGAAACATAATTCACAGAAATAACAAGTGACTAACCAACATAGATATTTCCTTATTTTTAGACACTCTAAGATATACTTATGCATTCAAACGATAATGTCAGCAATTAGATGCTGTGTCCTAACAGGATCGACTCTCACCTCCACGGCAGGCTTGGATGATGATCACCTTGGGTTTGTCCTCCAAAGTTGAACAGTTGCTGTTGTTCAACATTGTAAAGATGTTGCTGACTTGCAGCACATCTCCGTCTCCTGCAGAGTATTTCTTTCCACAAATGCCACCCAGAATACCATGAGACATGAAGACCAGAAAAGTACTGTCAGAGGTCTTGTGCTGGGGGTTGGCTGCGAAGGTCTTCACCTCTGTGGCCATTTCCTAAAAGATATCACCCCATCAACTTTGGACCCTGAGACCACAGCACTCTGAGAATCCACTGAGAAACAGTTCAGGAAGTTGCTGAGCCATCCCAGGAAAATCAGGCAAGCAGGAAAGAAAGTTAAAGTCTCAGGTCTGTAACAAGTGATGAAAGCAGATGTTATAGAAAGTCATCTTGAGATTTCCAGCAGAGAGAAGGTGACCTTCCTGAGGTCATAAAAGACTTCCCAATTGAAAGATGCACAGGATTATTGCCAAAGATGCCTGCATTTGCAGAGAACACCAAGCACTTTCCAAGGGAAGGATTCCAATATACACTACCAAGAAATTAAATTTCCTAGTATGATAATTTTCCTTTTTTTTTTTTTTTTTTTTTGTGGAACCGGGGATTGAACTCAGGCCCTTGCAGTTGCCAGGGAAGCAAGGCTTATACTGAGCCATCTCCCCAGCCCTGAAAATTTTCCATTCTAACATTATTTATGAGTACAATGCATGTAGTCATTGTCTTTATAAAACAAAAACATTACCAAAGCCGTGAGATTTTCTCTCACAATCACTTGGTATCCCAGGCCTTCTAGAAGTGTTTTCATATTTCTGATATCAGCTTCAGCTCCAGTCCTTTTGGGAAGACTGTCGAACTCTGTGTTGCAGATAATGAGGGCAAGACGCGTGCGGGTCAACTGATTCATTATTGGATAAATCTGTAAGAAAGGCAGATTGACCGAAAGGCATATTTCCCTTACCTCAGGATTCATTTTGTGTGTTTAAAACAGTTTCTCCTTTCCCTATTAAGAAGTCAAATTCCTTGGGCCTGGGAAGATAGCTCAGCTGTATAAGTGCCTGCCTGGTAAGCACAAGCTCCCGAGTTCAATGCCTTGTACTGCAACAAGCAAACAAGTACACAAACACCCAAATCCCATAAACAACAGTTTAACAAGCTGAGGCTTAATGAAGACATGGAAATGGCGTTTGCAGGAGCCCAGCTCACAGCTGCCCAGCTCACAGCTGCCCATCTGCCTATACTTTTGACAAGTGGATATTTTTAAAAGACATGCAGTACACATTAAGAAGACCAAGAACATATATGTACTATTTTCAATGTCACATCAATTATTACTATACTCTCATGAAAGTATTTTTTAGAAAAAGGTAATAAAATAAAAAGAGTCAAGAAGAAAAATTTAAGATTTCATACAAGCCTGTGGTAATATTCAATCATATTGCCCATTTTGCATAACCATATCTATTAATCTGAGCAACAGATTTGATGATAAAAACAGATAATATATCATTCATGGTTAAACAGCTATTTTTGTTTTGAAAATCTGTAATATATGTATTGTTCTATGTTACCCTGTTTCTGTATTTGTTTTTGTTTTCTTGCTTATGTTTTTACTCTTCAAAATAAAAGAAAGCTATAATAAAAACTAAAACAATAAGCAAAATAAAATAATTGAAACAAAATAAAGATAGATAAATGATACACAGGCTCTGAAGCCAAGATGATGGAAATTAACAACTGAGACCTTCACCTTCTGGAAAAGTATTTAACAATCCTCTGATATTTAAAATGCATGACTTAATGACTTCTAAGGCTAATATCATTAATATGCAGAATATTTACAGTAATGTCTGACTCATAGGAAGCTTCCAGTACTAGCTATTAACATTTCTTATTACAATTATTATTTATCCAGAGCAGCGGAACTCCTTCTAAACTAGAGCTTCTAGGAGGTAGGGATCTTGTAGGTCAGGGAGCAGCCTGAGGATTCAGCAGAAAATCTCACTAGACGTGGCCCAAAGTAAGAGCCACTTCTCTGCAAGGAGGCTCAAGTTCGAGCTGGGGTTCTGCGAACAGCACCTCCGTTGACTTTTCTTTCCATATCTTTTGGGCAACTTCCAGGGGGCAAGGCTTCAGGCCTCCTGATGGTCCTGAAGACATGGACAAAGCTTGATTGTCCTGTATGTCCCGAGAAGCTGCAAGGGATAAGAAACATGAATAGTTACATCTCTGATTGCTTCCCTTGGTCTTCTTGACAGAATCAACTACGAGAGGCCACACAGATGCAGTATGGTCCAGGGACACAGCCCTGGGATATGTGCTAATACTGTAGAGCAGATTCATTGCTAGTGGAGCACAATTCCAGCCAGAAGAGATGGCCAGTGGTTTGACACAGGGAGGTACATTTGCCTTACAGAATAACCATCTTGACAGGTGTGTAAATAAACATAGAGAAAAGGAGCTCTTCCTGTCCATACATGACAAGTAGGGCAAAAACAATATTCAAGAAAAAAATTAAGATACCGATTTATTTCAAAAGATTTAAATCCTATGTTATCCTAAAATATTAGGTTGTTAGGGGTATGTCTTGGTTCTATTTAATAGTCTTGTAAAACATATGTGTTGTTCTATATTAATTTAAGAAGCATAGGGCCGGGGAAATGGCTCAGTGGAATAAGCGCTTCCCCTGGCAAGCACAAGGGCCTGAGTTCAATCCCTGGTTCCGAAAAAAAAAAAAAAATGAAGCATGATAGTAGATATTATGGGTTCTTTTTAAATATACTTCCATCCTGTTGTTCAGGGTAATTTTCTGCAGTGTACTCCTGGAAGGAGGAATGACAGTATTCATTGCCTGATAGAATAGCCAAAGCAAAATGACAAGTGCTGCTACTGTCTGGGAGCATATCTGGCATAATCATCTCCCCCAACATTGATCGCCCAGCTTTGAAAGGAAAAGTTCCTACAGTATAAATGCAAGAATATCCCAAAGGCTTTTATTTGACTGTACATCTTTCAACAATGCAAGGCACTGGATGAAGAAGTTCATTTATCTTTATCCACTGTAAAATAGAGATAACTTATCTAGATAACTGAAAGAACTTTTGAAAAGTACACTTTAAAATTAATTTCAAAGAATAATGTTTTTTAAAAAAAGACTGCTGCATAATCATCCAGGAAAAGGAATGCAGCGCTAGACATTTTGACTAGAAAAAATAACAGTGAATTATAATGTATATATTGGAGAAAACAGAAACAATCATAAGTTGGGAAAAATCTCTTTCTGCATAATGACCTCTAGAGTACAATAACAAACATAAATAGAAATACTTAAATTACATGAAAGATGTTTTTTCCAGTAGCACAACAAAGTATTCAGATGCATAATGATAATCCTATTCCAAGAAATGTATAAGAAAGTAGAGGGGCTGGGGGGATGGCTGAGTTAAATAAGCACTTCCTTGGCAAGCA